ACTGGAGGTTGTATGGGTAAACAGTAGACATGCTACAGAAAGTAAATTGGGAAAACTTCAACAGACACAACAACAGAATGCCACAGAAAGAAAATTCAGAGGATGAAGTCAGCTACTGTAGGTTTTAGGTTGACCTAAATTAGTGGTCAGACATGAGCAGACAGCAGAGGAAAACACACAAATTTTATTTCAGATGAAAGAAGTTCAGTTAAGAGAAGCAAAATTGCAAGTTGTCTCTGTGGAGCCAATTCATTTGGATTTAAGAATAGTCATGGATAAGCTACAGATAGAAAAGACCATGGTCTTGGATGTAGGGTGGCCCACAAAAATTTCAGAACGAGTCTGGAAAATTCTCCAAAAGAACAGAGAGATAAGAGAGAGAGCAAGCAAAGACAGTCATGGAAGGCAGAACGGCACAGCACCACAGCAGGACATGCGTCAGTGACATCTGAGGTTGTTACAGTGACTGGCAGGCATATGCAGACTGACCTTTGAACAGAAGTTATGAGTAACTTGGATGGCATTTCGGTGAGAGCAAAAAGGTTGAGGTATGTTCCGGAGCACGTAAGATGAAATAGGAGACGATGAACTCAGATAAACTTTCCTGAAAACTTTGGAGACAAAGGGAATACAGCCATAGTTGGATTGCTTAGTTGCTGGATGAATACATGTCCACGTAGATCCATTTCTTGATATGTAGGCCGACTCAAATTTTGACTTATGTATTCAGTTGAATAAAGCCCAGCTCTGCAGAAAATAACTTTTACAGGTGTTTTACTCAAGATAAAACCTGTGAAAACTCTCTAGAAAGTCAAAGTAAGATCAGACTTTAATATATGCTCAGGAGTGTTGGTGAGGGAGAACAACCTACCTTGAATTCTGAGAAAAGGAGGTAGCAGGAAAAGAGTTTTATATTTCATTTTTAAAGCTATGCACAGAATCTTCTTCGTGTTCTGTTAACAGTCACAGACCAGTTTTTATACTTCCAAAACACACTGACCTCCTCAGCCAACCCAGATAGCTATTAGCCTTTTGATATAGCCTGAAAGTAACACCACGCTGCATTTGCAGTGCTTTCTGGTCAGGATTCTAATTTTTTACACTGCTGTAAGTTTTTTTAAGCCCCATATATGGAAGCAAAGATACACAGGATTGCAGGAAAGAAAAATAAACAGCCAGACCACCGACAATAATACAAAGTGAGGGCAGTAGGTGCACTTGGTACCCCCAGGCATCTGTCAGCTCCAAATCATGGACTGTGCAGGAGACAGTAATTGGAAAATAGATGAATTGCACCTTCAGCTGTGGGACTGAACGCATCAAGTTCTTAGGGGTAGTTGTGAACCTTATTACTCGTAGAGCTGACACAGAACATCTCAGCTGCCCAAGAAGCATCACCTCCAGAGGCAGAGGGGAGCCAGGGAACAGTGTCTAGGTTGATAATTAGCTTGCTAACCAACAGCTGCATAGTGTAGCTGATCCTCTTGTGAATTAAGATATACTGGAGTACTGTCCAGGCATTTTTATATGCTCTTCCTTCTTTGCTTCCTATCCCTATCTTAGCCACTGTCAAATTGCTGAATCATGGTATAGATCCAGTATCCCAAAAGTCTGTCTTTGTTCTGTTTTTATTTCAGTGTCTTTTCATTGGGCTACTCCATGGTCAGAAATGTTCACAACAAAGATGTATCAACTTCCATATGTTAAATAAATTTTATGTGGTGTGATCAGTGTATCTGCCACAAGAATGGCAATTCTGATGACAATTCTGTGGGTATATCAGGATAATTAGTTAGTTCAGGAGGTTTTTTGGCCCACCAAAATAAATCTTCATACTGTCGCTACTGCTGTAAACAAATTAAGAAAGTCCATGTTTAGTTATTAATGATTTGTTCTAGCACAGAATCAGAAATTGTTACTACCCCTTTCTTCCCCATAGGAATCACCTTAACAAAACTTTGCTATGGTCTATTCATAAGTAGTTTAAACAATATTTTACCATTACAGTATTTTTGGGAGGGTAAAAGTGCCATCCCCAGTGTCCAGGGAAAACAAACGGGCTCAGCAGTTGCAAGCATGTTTCCACTGGCAGTGCAAGTAGGATCACAAGAAAATCCAAATCTCAAGACAAAATTCCTTTTGATGCTGTGTGCGAGTTGAAAAGGAAATACTATGAGCCTATGAGCAGTTTCTCTTAATGCAACATCCATAAGCATAATTTCACCTGACAGTCATTCACAAGTTTTCTACCAACTAAATATTTTGCAGATAGAGTTAAATAGGCAGAGGTTTCAAACACATTTGGATTCTGCCTGGGAAAGGAATTTTCCACTCTGTACTACTTAGAAAAATGAAGACGCTGTAGGCTATGGTATCATGTTCAGAGGAACAAGGTAGGTAGGATAGGGCATTAGGCACTATTATACTCCAGGGAAGAAAGAGCAGACAGGGGCACAAAAGAAGTGCTTCATTATATTTTAAATGGGAATAGTTCCAAGGATAGGAAAGCCTGTGGTGCTTGTAAAGGATTAAACAGGGTAATGTGCTTTTTAAGAAGACATAAAGAGGTATGTAATGTGATATGTTTAAGCCTAAATGATTTTTCTTGGAGTCCTCAATGAATGTTTAAGCAGGCATGACTTAGGCCTCTGTAAATCCTCTCTGAATAAATAACTTCTGCAAAAATAGAGTTTCCTTTGACAGAATGAGATGCATATTTCATAACCTATGCAAAAAAAGGAAAATCAATTTGAGACACGTGAAACACTTAAGAATAATAAAGAAAAAGGGAAGATAAAAGTGAATAATCCAAGCTTATATAAAAATACAGCTACTTCCCCAACCATTTTGATTTGACAGTGAAGGAAGACAAACAACTGAATGAATGCTTCCCTATCTTAAATTCAGACCTTCAGCTGCTTTTTGCTGTTTTTTGAGAAAGGAAGAGACAACAAGTGGAAGAAAATACCTAAAGCACCTGTGGTTTTCAGGCTGTTTCTTTACCCTGCTCTCTCTTCAGGGTAAATCTACCCAGCTGCTCTCTAACCGGACCTGATGGTACATATAGCTGTTCATTATGGATGGAACAGGAGCACACATGGTGAGACACGTGCACCCGATTTATGAGAATAACAGGACCAATAAATATCAAAATCTGAAAACTTACAGTGGCATGATCTTCCCATCCTATTCCTCCTGCCTGTCCTGCTCTCCTGCCAGGAAAAGCAGGTCAAAGCAGTAGATTGCCTGATGTGAAGTGGGACTATGCAATCATTGTCATTTGGCTATACTGTATTTTCACTCACATGGGTGCCATTCCCCATGAAGTCACTGGTACAGCAAGCATGCATTCCTGCTGAGTGAGAGGGGTGATGTGTTGAGTAAATCAGTGGTGATCCCTCTCCCCTTCCCCTTGTTTATATATGCATTAATACAATAGCGCCAGCTCCACTGGAATTGTCAGAATAAAAGCAAGACAAAACTAAAGAACTATTATGCTTTTACAAAAAATTTTGGGGAAGGCTCTGCTGTGAAAGCTACTTGTAAACCCCATTTAACCTCTGAGATGATGCAGCAGGGAGTGCTGTTAAAGATGAGCATGTCCACTGCACTCATAACATCCTTTCAGGACAGCTCTTTTCCATGGTGGTCCCTCCTATCGCAGTACATTCATGGTCATTAGTCAGCTGAGTGGAAATCCCTTTCCCTGTACCCATTTAGAAGCACTCTGTAAGTCTCTGCTCTCTCACTTGGCACTCCAGGAACGTGTGCCAAGGTAACAGCATCACAGAGCTTGGATAAACTGCTGTTTGGTCATGCTTTAGGAAGGTAGAAACAAAATGAAACACAGAGGAAGACCTGTTGGTTTAGCTTGTCCAGGGTTATATTTAGCTTAATAGCTCTGATGTGGCCAGTTAAATTCATTAAAGACCCTGAAGAACATCATGAAGCATAGAAATAGGCCTAGGAGGCCCATGAATTCTTTCCTCTGAAATGTTTTCATTTTTTGAAATGTGTTACAGAGATTATAATCTCTGTCTTTTATCAGCTACCTTTTAAAAATATTAGTTTTCTTTGCCTAAGATTAGCTTTTAACATCACTTTCTTCATCCAGCTTTCTTCCTGAGCAGGCCAAATACAATCTCCCCAAAGCTTCTGTGTGAGTAGCAGCTGGCAAATAATCTTCTTCTGGGTCATGTCTTCCTGTAAATTGAAGGAAGGGGAGAAAATGCACACATAGGTAAATGTGTATGTTCATTAGAATCAGGCCTAAGATGTCTGATTTTTTTGAACTGGAGGGTGGTTGGCTTCTTCACATGGCACAACTTAGTTTTTCAACATCATCATTTGCAAGTGCTTATTCCTGGGGAGCAGAATCATGGGAAATTAAAGAACTTAGATATTTCTGGTTTTGTAGATTTTAAGACAGCAAATGCCATATTTCCAGGAACAAGAAATCAAAGACTGTAATCTGGAATTACCTGCCAGCATGCTACACCATTTGTTTGGTTTTTTTCAGCTAAAAGCCTTTAGTCAGCACAGCTGTGTTTCATGTACTCTGTTTTTTTGATTCTTCTGAAACCCTTTGTATAACTTGGGATGGCAAACCAAAAAGAGGGCAGTTTTTTAAAATATATATATATATAAAAGTCAAACCCTAGCTTTATCAGCCCCTTACAAACTGAGCTAAAATATGTTTTCTCAAAAAAAGCAATTTCCTCTAGCTTATAAATCTTCAGACTTTTTTTCTTGCTCTTTCAGCTCATGACTTTATCTAAAGGGGTTTCAAAAGTGCAGTTCCCCAGGGCCTCTCTTGCCTCTTCTTTTAAGCTGTTTAGTCCACCAGAGGAGGAAAATATGATCTTGGTTATCCAGAGGTTGGATCGGTGATTTTAGAACTCCAAAGAATTTTTGTTATTTTGTAGTTCTTTTATTATCAAGAGATCACCAGTGATTACATCATTCTTTTTAACACGCTTTTTTCTCTTGTCTGTATTCAGTGTGAAAACATCAGAAGTTACAGGTTTTCCTGGCAAATGGATTTTGATGGAGACAAAAGGCAGAGTTTTTCCTGGATTTTTAGAAGTCTCTAAATCAAGCTTATAACAAGTAAGCACACAATTCATTGATATGTTGTCTAATCAATCTTCCCATTTTGAAGTTCAAAATAAAGTTAACAAAATGTGATAATTCTTTGATTTGATTTAAAAGTCTGAATATAAAGATAAAATAGTAGGCAAAAAATTTGTATACAGTCACTCATTAACCCATATTCACTCTTATACTGAATCCTTTCATGGGCTAGTATTTCTATAAAAGCTGTAGCTGTCAAACAAAAATTGGGAGGGAGTTATTGAATTCACAAACATGCTTACAAAAATTGATTCCTGCTCTCAAAGCCCACCACAGAAAGAGGCTGTGAGACTGTTCTTTAAAGCCAGATCATCTTTTTCTGCCTTCTTCTCTCAAAACAAACATGATTCATAGCTACAACTGAAAGCCAAGATTTTCAGCATCAAGAGTCTACAAAAATAAGATAATAAGTGTTCTAAGACCAGTGGTCCTATTCCCATTTTGCATCCTGATAAATGCACTCATCTCCTATAAATACACCTGTAAGTCTTTTTTTTGGCAAACAGTTGAGGTACTTACATTTTAAAATGCTGTTAAAAACAAGCTACACAGCTGAGAAGTCCCAATGCTCTGTGCTGATGCAAAGGACTTGCAGAAATAGGTACCAGGCATGATCTTTATCTGGGTGCAAATGCATCTCTCATATTTAAAAGCAACAACAAAACAAATGTGGAGTCACACAGAGCATCTCCAATGGGAAGCAAAACGTAAGCATACCTTTTGAATACCTGCGGTCGACTCCACAACGTTGTTCTCTGAGCCATTACTTCTGTTAATCATCCTCCACATTTGGGAATACATGCTGTCCCTCTCAAAAGGATTCATCCCTTTCACTCGGACGTGCTCATAGACTGCGGAGTCCAAGACAGTGCCATAAGGAATATCTGTCTGCCTCGAGAGATCCTGGAGAGACCTTAATTGTTGGTGAAGAAAAGAGACACAGGAGACTTGAAGCCACATTTTCAAGAGGAATGAGCTGCAGGCAAGCAAAGGGCAACACATAGAAAGACAGCTGTCAAGACACCTTCTTTAGTTTTCTTTTTTCTTTTTTTTTTTTAATTATTTTTCCTTTTCTTTTTTCCTGAAAGGTAAAGTGAGACTGAAAATTTGGTTTTATGTTTTAAGACACAAGGAGGAATACAAAGTGAAAGGAAGGGGTGGAAAAAGCGAAAATGGATGGAAAGAGAAGAACAGAAAGAGTAAGAGGATCCTGTCAAATGCCAAGATCCTTTTGGCAGGGGCAAAGGAGAGAAAGGGAGCATTGCAGTCTCTCCAGCTGTATGCAGGAAGTTCAACAGAAGCTGGGTGACAGTCTACATGAGTACAGTGCAAACACACACTCTGCTGCTGGGGAGCTGGAGGGTTGGCACTAGAACTCACCAAATCTAGCCCAAAGCACCTGTGCTGAGTAACTCTATGTGCTACTGGGTTACACCATGAAAGGCAGTTTTATCATGGTATTCCTGCACTGAACTGTGCATCCATCACATAGGTCACATCCTATATTATTTTCAGCAATTAGATTTGTGTTGTGGTTTCAGAAACTGACTTTTCATCAAAGTTCATGTTATTTAGTCTAATAAATTTGTTCTGCTTTACATGTTTTACCCTTCTTTGTAAACAAGAAAAATAATACAGTTTCTAAAGGATCCCAACTGCAGTATTTTCAACCCAGATTTGGACTTAAAAAATGTATATTATAACCCTTTAAAGTCTCCTTACCTCTTGGCCTTTATTTTCCTGTCCTGTGGAATTCCTCTTCCATACCTTTGATTCTTTAATGGCATTCATTAAAATTTCAAAATAACTACTGCCATATGTCTCCTGCCTAAAACCCATTACAGCTTTCCCAGCACAAATTAACAGTATAAACCGCACAAATCTAGGGGTTGACACATAAGGACAAATCAAGGGGTAGAACACCATCTTAAAGAAGGCAATAGCAAACTGTAAAAGCTCATTGCAGACACAGAAAAGCAAACACAAATGTAGGAAACTCATCAAATTCCAAGTTGTGTTTCTGAAACATGTAAGCATGGCAGCTAGTGAAAATAGTCCTACAGGTGGAAAAAAGGAATTCTTGGGTGTTCTGGGGATGGCACTGAAGAAAACAATAACCAAATCTCAAAAGGTATGTATGCCTCTGAACAAAACAGAAAGCAGGAAAAGAAGAAATCTATAGAGCTCAATGGCAAGGGTTCAGAAGTTAGCTAAGTAAAAAAGAAATCCTTTGAAATTCAGACATGGTCTTAGAAAAACATTGAACAAGAGCTAAATTCTAATCAGATAACATATAGTAACTACAAGGAAAGGATAAATTTAATTTTGATGAGTAAATAACTAATAGTATTAAACCCCCCAAAATCTTCTCCTCTTTCTCCAACAGGATGACATTCCTCTTCAACAGCCATCCTGCAAACAATCAGGACACATATGGAATCATCAAAGACGAGATGCCAGTTGTAATGTGAATTTCTTGAAACCAAGTGTAGTGGCCTTCTACTAGAGGACCAAGACATGCCTTTTTCTAGGAGGAAAAATATGAGACTCTAGTAGACTAAGGCATCAGGAAAAAAAGTACGATGGTTAATTTGTAATTGAAAAGTAAAAAATAAATTATCAAGTCCAGATAAATACCTATGAGTTCTGAAAGATTAAATATGAAATGGCTGAGCTGTTAGTAAAAATAGGAAACCTTGTTACGGCTGTGAGGGAAAGGGAAGCAGTAAATATTTTAAAAAGTGGCAATCGGGAGAATCGTGAAAGTAAACTACTTAGGTGATATTTTAGGTGATAAATTTAATAAATATAGTGAAATAAGGCTTGATACAATTTTGAAGATCAGTCCTGAAGCTTAGACATAGCCACCAGGTAGGTTTCTCCAGGGAAAGTAGTTCAATCATCTATTACACTTTGAAATTACTAAAAAACCCCAAGAATTTCAAAAGGGCCTTCATCTCATCAAAAAATATACAGATGGTGGAAGTATGGACAGTCTTCAAAGAAGGAATTTAGAAACACTTCCTGGCAACCCTGGGTAGCATTAGAAATACTCAGCCAGAGTGGATGTGCTTGAAGGATTTCAAGGGTAACAAGAACAGCTTTTGCAGAACTAAAAGCCTAAACAAGGAAAGTGTGAAGCTGTTGATGGGGACAGCAGACACAGCTAAAGCTGAGGTGCTCAGTGCCTGCGTTGCCTCACTCTTCCTCAGCAAGGTCCCCCAGCAAAGTCTCTAGGAATAGAGGCAGGGTTCAAGGGGGCAATAAACAACCAGCAGGAAGTGGTCAGGTAAATCCCAACCAGACAAGGCAGGGATTGACTGGGATCACTAGACCCACAGAAGTCTATGGGACCTGGCAGGCTGCATCAAAGTGCGCTGAGGGAGCTGGCCAATGTCCTTGCAGGGCCAGCTGCTTTGATTTTTGAAAGGTGAAGGAGATCCCTGGCCGCTAGAGAAAGAAAATGTCCAGACTATATTCAAAAAGATGAAAGAGATGATTAATGGAATTAGAGCTGGTCATCCAACATCATGGAGTGAGTCCTCTTAGGCCACATTTCTGAGCATATGAAGGAGAAGCAGCTGACTGGCCACGGTCTACATGGATTTACCAAAGCTAAGTCATGCCTGACCAACTCGGCTGCCTTCTACAGTAAAATTACTTTGTTTATGGACAAGATGAGAGAAATAGACATAGTTTACCTCAGCTTTATCAGGGCATTCAATACTGGCTACCACAATATTCTTGAATCTAAATTAGGTCATTAGGTATGTCTGGGTGGGAAAACGGATAAATTCCTGGTTGGATAGCCATGCTCACAGGGTAGCTCACATGGAGGCTGCTAACAGGTACCACAGAGGTCTAACCTGGGACATGTCTTTACCAATAACCTGGAGGAGGTAAGCAAGGACCTTCTTGTCAAGTTTGCTGATGACGTGACATTGGGGGACCAGCTGACTGCTCAAGAACAGGCTGCTATTCAGATGGACCTAGAAAGGCTGGAGGAATGGGGTGTGAAACTCAGCAAGGACAAATGCAAAGCCCTGCACCTAGGGGTGAATAACTCCCTGCAACAACCCAGGCTGGGGCACAGCTCTGCAGAAAGGCACCCCCGTAGGCAGCAGTGGGCCTTGGTAAGAGCTTTGTTCTATTTTACCATTAGGCAAATTGTTGTGCAGAAGTAGTGTATTACTGTTGTGTTGACTGTCTATCTGTTAAAAGCATCACTGATAAAAGGCACTAGATAAATAGAACATACATCCATTCTGTGTTGCTGCTGCTGCCAATACACTCCTCTATCTGGCAGTGCTCAGAAGTGCAATGAACTGTCACAGGATGCAAAATGTAATGTCCTGTGATTGTCGTGTTATTTGTCATACTAGAAAAGTATGCATAAAGTATTTATTGAGTCTCCAATTTCTAGTGACAACACTTAGCAAAATTGCAATCATTACAAGTCTACGTATAGCCATATAATTTCTAGTATAACAAACAACAGAGAATTTTTTGGATATATTATTGCTACGCAGTAAATAATTGATATGTGTAGCTGCTGCCACAAACCAATATGGTTACAAACAGCACAAAAGAAAACTAGCTCCTCTGTATATCCTATGGCTATAAAAGCAACTTTGCTATTTTCAGAAAGGCAAACCAGCACAAGACATCAGCTGTCAGTCTTGAAGTGTACTACAGTCAGGTATGGGAAACATATTGCAAACAGGCTGAGAAGCAAGAAAGAATGCTATCACACACAAAGGCACCACCAGCAGGGAAATAACAAGGAGAAGAATTATGTCAATGCCTTCAGGAAGGCATGTTGTAGTTGCCAAGTCTGGCACTAACTACAGTCTGCAGCTCCTCATGGTTAGATGTGCTATCCTAAAACACAGGATGCCTCTCAGCTGCCCTACTCTGCATCTTTACACAGTTGCAGGTGAAGCTCCATGCTGAGAAAATGATGGCAGGAGGACAAAAGCAAGACAACTATAAATGTAACCTCTACGGATGCGCTAAATGCTGTTGTTGGCAGTAAACCTCAAGTTTTGGTTCACCTGATCATACACTGAGGAACAAGAAAGAAGTTACAGAACCTTTGACATATGTATGTGTATATTCTGCTGCATAAGCAAGCTGCAAAAGCAGTAAAGATCTATCACATCAGTGGCTCCCTCCCCTCGCACAAACATGTAAAATGGGATGATAATATATATGACCTCTTTCAGATGCTGGTTTTTTTATAACCTGCAACTCTGCAGACTATTGGTGTGACATTCAGAACCTAGAAGCTATTGTACAGCAAAACAAAGAGAAATGACAAACTTTGACAGAACTAACAGAATTATTAAACCATGGAGGTTCCTTTGCCGAAGAAAGAACTTTTATAACTACTTTGCCTCCAGCCTGGTTTTATAAGTTACACAGTGTTTGGAGTACCTCTATTCCTGGATTAAACAATTCATTCTCTTTTCAGACAAATGCATTTAGTGCATACACAAATCCTCAGCCTCACTATGTCACCCAATCTCACCACACAGCTGCCACACCACATCTCAAAATAAGGAAAAAGCATTTGATGAATAATTCCTAGGGTACAGGAATTTGATGATTAATTCCAAAGGTCTCGTTTGATGCCCAATTCTGATACCGTTATCCACACTGAAATTTAGTTTTGTGATAGTTCTCCGTTGAGGTACCCGCAAAGCAAAGCATACATCTAGCATGAGCGAGCAAATTATAGTCCAACATTTTAAAACTTTTATCTCCTTGAATTTCTAATTTTGAAGCAATAAGGTGGCAGGCACTGATCTCTTCTCTGTGGTGAGCAGTGATAGGACCCAAGGGAATGGCCTGAAGTTATGTCGGGGGAGGTTTAGGTTGGATGCTAGGAAAAGGTTTTTCACCCAGAGGGCGGTTGGGCACATGGAACAGGCTCCCCAGGGAAGTGGTCACAGCACCAAGCCTGACAGAGTTCAAG